TCTCCCAACCGCACCCCCCTCCCCACGCCCCAGCAGCTTTCCGCAGCGCACCGCGCGTAGGGCCCCAGCTCGGGGATCAGCCGCCGCTCCAGCGCATGCTCAGCAAAAGCCTCCGCCAGCGCCGGGTGCGCGCCCACCAGCGCAGAGGCGCCGCCCTCCCGCGGCTCCTCCGCGACCTGCGTGATGGCCCCAGCCGGTGTGCGCGTGTTGTGACCCTGTGCCCCGCCTGGAGCGCAGTTTGTATTTGCTGCGCCAGGGAGCTTCAAGGCTTGGCCCAGCCGCCTTGGCCAACTTCCCTGCATCCAGAAAATCGAACACAGCTATGTCAGGCAGACCTGGATCGCGTGCGTCGTCTTGGTGGGGGCCGCGCCCGCCTTGCGCGGCGCGTTGGCCGTCATCCGCACGACGGCACCCGGCACGATGAGGCCAGCGCAGTCCATGGCCGGCGTGTGCGCCAGCACCTTGCGGGGGCGGGCGCGCCAGGAGAGGATGCGTCACGCCGGCGGCGGCGGTGGCGCTCACAGGGGTGTGCCACCAAGTGCCCTACGGTCTGCCATCTGAGTGGCTTCCGGCCTCAATGGGTCATCAATGTGTCATGCAAGCAGCGACCCAAACTGTCCACATGAGCCAATAAGCTCAAAACGCACACCCGCACGCTTGTGCACCCCACCTGCTCCCCAGACGCCAGCTGGACATCCGCGACATAGGGCGTGCGCACCGACGCCGACGGCCGCCGCAGCACCTGGCCAGAGCGGGGGTGTGGCCAGGACGGGCGCAGGGGCGTGGCGCTTTCGCAGCAGAGGGCAGCTGTGGGGCCGGCGAGGCGGCGAGCCTCGGTCAATTATTAGCAGACGCGGGCCCAGTATTCAGTTGGACGTGTCGGATGCTCATGCATCCTCAGACGTCGTCTCACCTTGCCTACGACCAACTCCCCCAGATCCTTCAGCAGAGCCCTGGCGCCCGCACTGCTGGCGGCCGCAGCCATGCCCCCTGCCGCCTCTGCTGTTGAAGTGGCCCCGGGATCGCTGCTGCTGGGTGACGCCGCCAACAGGGGGGCTTCCGCGTTGCCCAAGCCGATGCGCGCCGCCTCCTTGGCGGCGAGAGCTTTGACGCCGCCTTTGGGCATGCAATCAGCGCCTGGTGTCGCACACACACTCGAGATGCAGTGCTCCTTGCTTAGCAGCAGCGCCAGAGATGCAGGCGCGCAAGTGGGAACGGAGCGCCAAAGTCACCCAGAGGCTTCTATAAGAATCAATGGTCTGCTTTGTTGTTTTTTGTGCCAATGAGGTATTGAGCGCGCTGATTTTCATTTGAGTGGATGGGAGACGCAGGCGAAGCGCGGGAACGTGCGCCTTGCAGTGTATTTGAAAATTTCGTAAACGTATGAGTTTTACGCGACAAGAGGCCGCTAAAGGCAAAGGTACCATTGAGCAGCGACAGATGCCAAGTAAGCTGCTTGCATGACACAGCTCGAGCTGTGTGGGTCCAAATGCGACGCGGGGCGCCCGCCGCCCTCTCACTGCATGGGATTAATTTCCAAGCGCTTTGGGCTCATATTCATGCCTATAGCCAAACGTCACATCACAAATGCATTGGGGCGACGCAGTCAACCTGGTCAACTCAGCTTGCGGGGTGCTGGCGTCCTCACCATGGCACTGCCACTTATGCATGCGAGTAAGCTAGTGCGCTGTCAGTGGTTGTACTCAATTCTTCACATGTGCATCTATATGTGCATTTTCGTGTGCAGCGCGGTGGTTGGGCCATGCTTGCTAATCAAGGTGCTGCCTCCGGGTAGTGGCGCGAGTGCTACAGAGTAGGGTTGGGCACGCTTGCAGTCCATGACTTCTGGTCTGCGAGACATCAAGTGCCCGTGTACTTCAAAGCTATCACCTGCGTGGGCGCTGTGTTGACGTCAGGCTCGCTTCCATCGGCGGGGGGCGGTGGGTGCATTGTAGGCCAACCCCAGCGGTGGCAAACAGGAAAGAATGCATGGCAGGGCTGCACAATGTGCATAGACAGAACTGCGGATGCACCAAGCGGCCAGCTCCTCCCTGAGACGCCCCACACCCTGGCGAAGTTGGCCCACACGCACACGCACCAGGTGCAGGTGCCACATCAGCGTTGCTGGCCCCCAGGCTGGTCAAGGCAGTGCAGGCTTTTGGCCACAGCGACGTGATGCAAGGTGAATGAGATAAGCAATGAGCCTCCCTTTCAAGCACAACGTCGGCCCCTTGCGGAGAGGACAGGAGGATTCTGGAGTCAGCAGGGGCCTTCCGCAATGAAAGATCTGCATTTGCCGGTGCACACAGACGCGGAGCAATCACTTATTAGGTTGTCAAAAATCTCGATCAACGAGCTCATACGGTAATTTCGTGCCACTGCGACAACAAGCACTTGAGCCTGACAACCAAACCGGCCACCCGCGACGCCTGAGATATCCTTTGCAATGCACAGCGGCGTCCTGACGCGCCCTGCCCTGCGCGGCATGCGCAGCGCCGCGCTCGGCGCACAGCCAGCACGACCAGCGCTGCTGTCCGCCCACCAACACCTGTCCGGCGTCGGCGCAGCCCGCCCGTTTCCGCCGCGGCATGTGGCAGCTTACGCCACGGGAAAGCAGGACGGGGAGAAGAGCTGGGTTGAGATCGCCTCCGAGGCCGCGGGCGTTGCAAAGTGAGCCATGGCTGGGGGCTGGACACGGCATGCATTTGCACTGCTGGTTGCTGCAGTTTGAAACTACCAAACATACAGTACCACCCAGCTGTAATGTTGCAGACCGCGGCCCGCGACCACACACCTTTCACTCACGCTCGCGTCACTGCCCTCGGCCTTGAACCTCCGCTAAACCCTCATCGCCGCCACGGAACCTCGGAGCGCCGCCTCGGCCCCAAAACATCAACACCAACACCAACACCCCCGGCCTGACCCGCAGGTCTGTTTTCGACAAAGTCAAGTCGGGCGCCTCGGCCGCCCTCCAGGCCGTCACTAAACCCAAGGACGCCGCGGCCCCCTCGGACCGCCGCCAGGAGCAGTGGGGCCGAGCACCCCTCCAACAGCAACAGCAGCAGCAGCAGTCGCCGCTCGCGCCACTCTTCGGGGACGGCCTGCTCGGCCGCGCGGTCGGCGGGCTGGTCGCCAGCGCGGTCAAGGGGCTGGGCGAGCAGATGGAGCGGCAGGCGCGCGAGGCGCAGGGGCTGTACGAGGACGCGGCGGCCGCCATCCGCGCCAGCCCCGAGGTCGCCGCGCGGATGGGCGGCGCGGTCACAGTGGGCCCCGCGATCAGCCAGTCGAGCAGCAGCAGCAGCGTCAACGGGCGGGTCACCAAGCGCGTCTCATTGGTGGGTGGCGGATGGCGGCACGCAGGCGGGGGCCCTCGGGGACCTTCCAGGGCCGGGAAAATGCCGTACTCCGCCTCATAGGCCACATGCTTGCGGGAATGCGTGCAGGGCGTCCCGCCCTCATCTTCCACGCGTCTCGCCCAGGCCGTTTGTGTTTCTCGTGGCGCTTTTACACGTGCCCGGGCCAGCGCACCTGGCTTGCGCCGCCCCAGAGGCGGCGCAGCCGGCAAGTTCAGCATAGACACCTCAAACGCCCAGCCTACTTGCGCAGCCCTTGCTCTCGAAATCGGCCTGCCGTTGCTCGCACCAGCCGCCCTCACCGCTGCACCCCCCAACCTCGGAAACCCCACCCCACCCGCGTGCTGCCGACAGATCCTGCCCGTCACAGGCCCCGGCAGGAGCATGGCGCAGGCGCAGGTGGTCAGCTCTGAGGGGCCCGGCACAGTCAGCACCACAGACATAGTGGTGAGTCGGCGCCCATTCATAACCACCACCCTATGCGCTCCTTTGACTTACCGCTACAGGGCTGCAGCAGGCGGGACCTTGTGGGTGGGGCTGGTGTTTGGGTGGTGTGTGGGAGTCGGGTGGGCCGTGCCCCCACAAACGCGCTTGCTTGGGTTGCTGGCAGCGAAAATACTTTATGTTGTTTCTTAACCCCCTTCCCGCTTCACCTGCTGCTATATTATGCCCCCCTCTATCCCAAAGGTCGTGCTGCCAGGGGGTGACAGCATCAGGGTCGCAGGCGGCAGGGGCGGCGGCGGCCGCCCGGGCGCGTACCAGCAGGGTGGTGTGGTCATCGACGCCGAATTCCAAGACATTTCGGGGCGGCCCTGATCGGCCAAAATATGATGCCCCCAGCCTGCAAGGCACCGGCGTTTGATTTCGTGCTTGCGTGCATGACCTGCAGCTGCCTGCGCCCCGATATGCAGGCGTTTGGCTGCATGGCGTGGGGAGTCTGGGGAGTGCTTTCGACCCTCGACACACCGCGGTTTGCGTGGTGCACAATCCACGTTTCGCTATAGTGAGTCACCCCACATGCTGCAAGAGCCATGTGAAGATGTGATGTGTGGCATCCCACACTGTAGCGGTCGCGTCAGTCGACCAGCGTTTGCTTTGCGGCCGCTTCCTATGCACAACCCCCGAGCCCAAAATTGCAGAGGATCGGTATGCATTGTTTCAAGAACCCGTGGGCGGCCCACGGCTCCTCACTGCCCCCCGCCGCGCATGTAAGCAACCACATCTGGCAGCCGCGCCCCTGCATCCCCGGCCCTCTTCAGCATCTCATCCAGCCCCTGCAGCCGCCCCCGCGCCCCGCCGCCGGCGCCGCCGCCCAGCCGGAGGTGGTCCCTGAACAGCTGCCGCACGGCTTCCTCCGCTGCCGCGAGCTCGCGCGCGCCGTCGCCTCCGCCGCCGGCCCCCGGCGGCTTGCCCCCGGCCCCAGCCCCAGCGCCGTCCTCGTCGCCCGGTGGCAAGGCGGCGGCGCCCGCGGGTGACGCCTGGTCGAGCATGGCTTTGTACTCGGGCGCGAGGTAACCCACGTCGCCGCCGTCTTGCACACGCAGCTCCTGCGAAAGTTCAAGAGTCAAAGAGTTTGCACGACGGGCACCAGGGCTGCTTGATACGGGGGCACTTATCTGCAGCGCTGCTTACTTGGGCTGCTCGCTTTGGGCGCTCTGCAGGGCTGGTCACCCAGCACAAGGCAGCGGGCCCAGTACGTCCCCATACACTGGCACAATTCCCTGATCATCGAAGAATCCTGTTTCATCAGGGCGCTGGCAGCCGCTCGCACAAGCACTGCACCCCCGTCGCCATGCACCCAAAGCCGCGAAGCAGGGGCGCCCCCCGCCAGCTGACAGCTGTGAGCCTTGCGGGCCCGCGGCCCACACCTGCAGCGCCTGCAGCAATTTGGCGCGCCGTGCCCGCCCGCGCTGCAGCTCCAGCTCCGGCCACAGCAGGCGCGCCGCGTGTTCCAGCCCGCGGGGGTGCACCGCGAAGCTGCTGGACGCGCGCACCTGCGGGCGTCAGCCACACGGTGGCGCAGGCGGCCACGGCGCGGCAAGAGCGGAGATGGGCCGGCGGTCGCGTGTCTTCCCAGCTGTGCAAGCGGCAGCTGCCTGCTGGACAGCCAGGCAAGGCAAGGTGCCAATCAAAGCAGCAGTGCAAGTCGAGGGTCCTAGGTCACCGCCAGGCGCGTCCATAGCCAAGACATCAACCCCCGCTTTCGGCCTCTGACCCTGACTCTCAACCTCATACCCCCACAGGGGTTGGAGGCCAACAGCAGGGGTTCAAATCCCCGTCCGTGCGCGGGTTTCGAGCGCGCAATCGCAGCGCATCTCGAGCACCAACTGACCTTGTCCGCGGTAGCCGACCGCATGAGGCTGTCGTGCAGCAGCGCCAGCGCGGTGATGTTGTCGCTGCGTAGCGCGACGGCCGCGGCAACAGAGTTCAGCATATCAATAGACGGGCTTGCACCGCGACCTCAAATTTGGGTGGCGCGGCAGCTTGGGCGTATGCAACAGACAGCAGGCGCGAGGCCGCATTGCTGGGCCTGTCCGCAGGTCCAACAGATGCACCGCAAGCGACGAATCTTGCCACCCAGCAGTGCGCCCATGCAGCCGGGCCTCACCTGACGAATCGCGCCGTGCCGGCCGCGATGCTGCAGCCCAGCAGGCTGCCCGCCTGGCAGCTGCGGAAGCTGTAGCGGACGTCGCCTCCTGCCCCGCCCCCGCCGCCGCCCTTCCCTCCGTCGGTGGTGGGCGCGTGGGGCGGCAGATCTGGCAGGGCGGCGGCCACCCAGGAGTTGATGTCTTGCAGGGAAAATGCGCCTGTTGTGGGTGTGGGTGGGGTGCACGTGGTTGTAGGTGCAATGAATCTGGGTTTGGCGCAAATCAAGCGGACGGTCCATGAGGTGTGGTGTCCAATTGCAGATGATGATGCATTCAGTTGCAGAACTGCGATGTATCCGCGGCCGTCGGTCAGCATTGACAGCGGCCTGACCTACCCGCGGCTCACCTGACATCATGAGCTCGCTGAAGGGAAGCTGCCCCGCAGCTGCCGGCCCACTGCCCTGCCCCTGCTGCCCCTGCTGCTGCTGCTGCTGCTGCCACATCTCCACGACATCTGATGAGATCCGCTGGTGAAGGCACAGGGGTGCCAGCCTGCACACCGCAACCAGCCCCACAACCAAGAGCGCCATCGTGTGATGACACCCGTGCAGGCAGGCAGGACAGTGAGCAATGGGGTTGGCTGAATGGTGGGAGGAAGCAGGCACGGCTCACCAGGAAGACCCTTCAAAGCGGTGCAGGTTCAAATCGCACATTTGGTATGGAGCAGCCAAGCTTGGTGCCACCAAACAGTCCTCCCGGTCAAACCGCTGCACAGCAAATCTTCGGCGTCCCATCCACCTGTACTGCACCACGGTGCACGTCTTCGGGGGTATGGCGGGGATCACAAACGCGTGGAGCACCCCGGCCTGGCCCTCCTGCGCCTTGAAGCTGATGGTCAGGCGGTTGGTGGCGTCCTGGCACCTGCATCGTCAAGGATGCGGTCGGGAGCAGGCTTCAGGGCTCCGGGATGCGTTGGCCCCCAAGATGACAGTGGAGGCGTCGTCTCCTCTTGTCTCTGCCACCTGGGCAGCTGCATGCAGGTAGCCGGCCCGTGCATGACTAGCTGTTGTGGGGGGTGCGGCCGGGAGGGGCTGCTCGTCAGGTGGACCACCGATCACCTGTAAGTTGCCAGGGTGGCCCAGCCGCTGCGCTCGTCCGGCGTGCTCCTGTGTTGAGACATAGCAGTGCTGGAAGGTTGCTTTGTGACATTCGCCTCTTTTTCAAATCGCATCCCAGCCGTTGCAGAGATTGCTTAGCCATGTATTTGCCGCAGTCTTCACTGCAGAAAGGGCAGCCCACAGTGATCCTGCTGGCTTGCAGGCCATCCCTCCCCTGGTGCATTCACCACACCCAACCCTGACACCATACCATCAAGACGAAGCTTCCGCCCACCCATGCACCTGCTGACAATTGCGACGTTGCCTGGCGCATCCAGTAGCAGCAGCTCCCGGCTGCACGCCAGACCGACAGCAAACAGCGGGGCGGCGCTCTCCAGCGCCAGCGCGTAGCAGCCGCCGTGCCCGCCGTCGCCCGCGGCCGCCTGCAGCTTGAGCGAGTGGCTGACGTCGAGCGCTGCGGATGCGGCCGGGGCCGCGGCGCCGCTGAGCGGGCGGCTGTGCGCCCTGCATTGCAGCGAGGCATGCAACAAGGAATGTCAGATGGGCGAGGGTGCAAGGCTGCCTGTTTATCGCTTACTCATAACGAATACCAGCCCATAGCAAAGACTATTACATAGGATGCCTCACACAGCGGCTTCCGCAGGCCGATCCGCATCTACAAACCCTTCAGCAGTACCTCTGCTCTGCTGGGACCCCAGAAACCCACCTGGCCCGCTCCTTGTCCAGGCGCTTGCGCAGCTCCTCGACTTCTGCAGTGGCCTGTATTGTGTGGAATTGACCCCACAACGACGGACGGCCCCACAAAAGCGTGGGACTAAGCAAAACATACCATAATTGCCTGGCTTTTTGTGGTCTCATGCAGCGAGCACTCATCTGACAGGCTCCTGCTCTAATCATGATGATGCAGGCATTTGGCCCTGGAAAAAGGCCCTGAGCAACACTAGGCAGCCCCCTACCTTTGCCACCCGTGCATTCAGGGCCGACACCAGCAGCTGATTCTGGCTCATCTGCTGCTGCCCTGCTGCAGCAGCCTGGGCGGCCGCCGACGCGCCCGGGCCGCCGGCCACGTCTTTCAAATTCAGGGCGCCCAGTCCAGGCACCACTGAGGCAGCAGCGGCGGTAGCGGGGGCGCCCAGAGCAAGCGAAGCAGCGTTGGGCGAAAAGGCGATGACCTGGGACACATGGGAGTGCGTGTGTATACGTGTTTGCACGCGCCTGTGTGCGCGACGTGTGTTGATGATCAGGAGGCAACTGGTTCGCGCCCTAGGCTACTCGTCCAAAGAAGTGGCTTCCATCATACCATCGTCATTCAGCATTACAGGCGCTTCAGTGGCGCGTCACGCCCAGAAAGGTAGCAGCTGCGGCGGCGCCCCGCCGCGCCCACCTTTCCGGTGAAGGTGTGTACGATGATGTCAGCAGCGGCGGCGCTGGTGACGTAGCCGCCGTCGACGCTGCAGATTGACTCGGGCAGCTGAACAGAGAACACCTGTGAGGGATCCGTCACGCAAGGGCAGGGCAGAGGCCTGGACAGGTTCAGGTGTGAGCTGATGGCCGTGCTGCGATGCACCTGGACAGAGCCCAAGACGACACCTCGGGGATTCCAAGCCCACCTCGCGTGACGCTAGATGATGGAACAGGTGGCGACCGCTGGCAGGCGCCGGGCGCTCTCGCCCAAGCTGGCGCCGCAGGGGCGCGGCCATCCCTCCCCGCTCGCTGCGTTATTCCAAGCGTTAATCGCAGCGCGCACCTTTTGCGGCAGCCCCGCCTCGTCAACGTCCCAGACCTCAAGCCACCCGTCCTCGCGGCCCACCACTATGTCAGCACAGCCAGACTGCGGCAGCGCGCGCGCGGCAGGACGTGGGTACAGCAAGAAAGACTCCTGATCGCATCGACCTTGTTCGCATGCAGCGTCGGCTGCGGCGCACAAGTCCCGGCCTGTCGTCTAAAGAGCACTCCCCTCAACAAAGCACAGAGCGCATGGGCGGCTCTGAGAGGTGCAGCTAAAGCTCCTGTGCCGACGCCGCCGACAGCGACCAGGCATCCGCCGCCCGCATATCCGCGGAGTGACGGTTGCCGCGCAAAACAGCAAAGGCGCCCCTGCACGCGCGCACCTTGCTGTAATCTGCGCCGCAGTGCAGCGCCCTCACGGCGCCGCCGCCCTGCGGCGCGGGTATTGTGAAGCCCTGGCGCACCGCGGCGCGCTCCACCATCAGCTGCACTATGCGGCCGTCCTCGCAGCCATACAGCAGCTCGTGGCAGCCGGGCGGGAACCTGGGGCGCGGAGGCGCGTGTGGGCGGTGCGCGTGGGCAGGCAGGGTTCTGGTGCGTCAGCTCGGACATGTCTACTGGGCTGCTGAGTCGGGCGTGCCCGCCGTTGTGCAAGGCGAGCAGGCGGAGGGGTGTAGGGGCTGTATCTGCCCCAGAACCCTCCGGATCACTTTACAGAACCCCTAGCACCCCCCCAGCTTTGTTGAAGAGTTCTGGATGGCTTAGGACTTTTCTATTTTTTGAAAACAAGTGGGTGTGAGTTGGATTGACCAGGGTAGTGCGTGGGTTGAGCTGCAATGTATGATGTTGCCACGCAAGGTGCGCCCGTGCGTGGCGCGCGCACCTGTGGCGGGGATCGTGGGAGTCCGGGACGTGCAGCAGCGCGGTGGGCGGCGAGGGGGTGGGCACCTCGAACAGCGTCGCGGAGCCATCCGGCTCCAGAACTCGCACCTGAGGATGCAGGTGCAGCGGTGACGGCATTGATCAGGGTGTTGAGACAGGCCAGGAGCAAGCTGTGGGGCACTTTGGACTTGCAAGAGCGACTGCACGACCCGTTCCCGAGTGCATGTCACCCGCAGCACGTCACATCCGCAGCGGGATGCACTTGTCATCAGTCATGTGCAGGTCCCCTTGCTCCTCAGATGCAGGGCAGCAGAGTGCACGGGCTCACCATGCGGTCGCGGCAGGCCAGGACTGGCACCATGCCCGCCGTGCCCAGCAGCGGGATGACCTGAGTCCGGAGGAGGGGTCGACGCTCGCGTGGCAAAGCGCAAGCCGCCAGCCTGGAACCTACAATTGTCATCGTCTTGCAAGACAATGACACCGCCGCGCGCTGACCAGCAACCTTCAGCTTCCAACCCATCCCAATCCTCATTCTGATCTGCTTTTTGTATCCTGCCTTTACCCCGCCCACCCCCCCTCCTCTCCTCACAACAGCGCCTGTACCCACCTCTGCCGCCAGGATCCTGTCTGGCGCGAGGTACAGGCCCTTATCTTTTGCCTCAAGGTAGTGGCTGTGGACGAACTCGCACGACGCCCACACGTCCCTGGCGGCGGCGAGCAATGAGAAGCAACGAGGTTCTCGCAAACGCTGCTGCACGCAGCACACACCATGAATGTTGGGGCTGGACTGTCGGGGGCTGTGCTGCAGGCCCAGCGCCGGGCCTGGCGCGGTGCGTGCGACCTAGATTGACCAATGCTTGAGAATGAGTGGGTGTGAACTACCGGCGCTCTGCCGGGGGCCAGGAGGCCGCCCGGCCGCACCTGTCCGCGACGGCGAGGCGCGATATTGGCTCCGTGAGGGAGGTGGTGAAGCGGAAGAACTCCTTGCCCTTCTTCGTCAGGCCCCTGATCTGGGACAAGTGGTTTCAAAGGGCGGCCGCGACAGGTGGAAGAGTGGTTTCAGATGGCGACCGCGACAGGTGGTTGCCCGAGCTGTTGCAAGGGGTCTGCCTGCCCCAGTGCTGCACCTCCCTTGCCGACCGCGCAACAGCTGCATGCATCTGCCAGCGCCGCAAGGCCATGCGTGATCTCCGCCTTCCCGCCGTCCCAGCCACGCAGGTGGACCAGCAAGCCGCAAGCGGCAAATGGCAAGTGACAAGCGGCAAGCTGCAAGCCGCAAGGCCCAAGCCGCAAGCCTCAGCACACTGCACCGGGTGGCGCCGCACCGTGCCGCCAGAGGCCACAAATATCTTGTCGCGCTGCCGCGAGTGGCGTCCGATGCTCACGCTGGTCACCTGAGGGGCCACCAAGAGTGACGGTTCGCCGCATGGTGTGGTGCCGATACCGCATGTCGAGGGCGGCTGCACGTCGCGGAACTGCCCACTGCGACTGCAGCACCCCAGGGGCATCCCGGTGCTTGGTAGGTGTTCCCTTCGAATGACACGGCCGCCAAGGACGGTGCAGTGATTATTATTGTGCGGCGCGTGCGCGCTGCCCATGCGCAGCATACGCGCCCACCTTTGGGCCGGGCATGGTTTTGAAGCTCAGCGCCACCTCGCCCTTTTTGACAGACAGGCACTGCACGACGCCTGAGCAGTCACCCACTGCCACCTTCTGCGTCTTCTTCTCGCCGGGCGGCAGCACCTGCAGAGAGTGCGGGCGAGCAGGCGACCGCCTCCTCCTAAGCGCAAAACGACGGCACCATGTCCCCTTGCATTATGGGCGCTCTTGCGACTGCACCAACAGGGTGAACGCGGCGTGAAGCAGCAGGGTCGCTCACCGCCAGTGTGCCGGGCGCCGCGGCCCCGGTCTGCAGCAGGTCCACGCGGTGCAGTTCCAGCTCCATGCGGATTCGTGGTGTGCAGCTGTATATGCGGGGCGCGGCGCGTCGCGCCACGCACAGCTGTTGCAGTCCGCCAGTCGCAAGGGCGGCGTGGTGCAAGCTGCTGTCCCAGCCAACGGACGGCACCCCGGGACTGCAGGTGGCCTGACGCAAGTTTGAGGCTATACACTCATTCGATCCAGCGTCATTTGCTGTGCGTTAGCCGCGAGTCCACTCGTGTCGAGCCAGATCGAATTGTCGAGGTCAAGGGCGCTCGGGTGTGCCGTTCAAATGTTATTTGCGATGTGCTAACTGCACTGTATTGTCAGTTCAAAGCAGTAGCGCGCCAGATCTTATGGATGGCCTTGAAGCGACCCTCGTCAGCTGCATCATACCTGAGATATGACATATGCATAAAGGTTGCACATGCTTTCGGACACGGGCTCCGATTTGCAGTGCGAGCGATGCGGGCACGCCCATGGTGACGTCAACCACCAGCCCTCGGATGCTGCGCGTGCTCTTGCTGCTGCCGCTACTGTTGCTGCTGCTGCTTCTCCTTTTGTTGGTGATGCATCGAATCTGCAGCTATCCGTGTTTGAAGCCGTCGTTGTTGTGGTTATCAAGGGCGAGTGGGAGCAGCAACAGCACAGGATATTTCTGAAACCCATATGATAGCACTTACAGTACTACCTGGTTGAGGTATGCTTCCAACACCGCGCACGACTGTTGCATGAGCAGAGTGCAATAGTGCGCCAACATGCAGCCTTGGTTGGAGAGAACTCTCGGCAACCAGCCCCATGTGTGGGGCAGCAGTGTGCCCCACACTAGCAGTCAGCCACGACAGAGTTGTGAGCAACAGCAACGCCCTCGGTACGCTTGAACCCGCCCATAAGGTCCCTTTGCTCCACCGCTCACCACATCCACATGCCCAGCCGCCTTGCAGGTGCGCAGCTGCCACTTGACCTGCCCCCCGTCAGTTTTGCGCTCGTCACAAGTGCCCGAGAGCCATCTATTATACTTCATTACACTTCAAACAACGTTCGTTGATTTTCTATCCGGCGAACCGTCCGACGCATGCGCCTTCGGCCGGGTTTCGCCAAACTCGCAAAAGCAGCCGTCAGCCCACGGCCTAACCCACCTGTCACGTAGCTGTGTACCTTGAGCTACGCTCTTGTGAAACTGGTAGAGGAGTAGCAGAGCAGCGCAGTCGTGGCAGCACTGCCCCTGCGTCACATCGCGCAGTCGCTGTCCCGCTGCTTGGCCCGCGGAGCGCGCGGGCAGCGCAGCCCCATGGGGCAGGGCTGCTCGCGCACCGCAGCGGCAGATGGCTCGGGAGGTGCTACGTTTGTGCAGCAGTGGGTAGAGGTGCGCGTTTGCGTGCTGCCACGCGTGCCGCTAGCTGTGCATTTGTGCTGCAACTGAGCATGGCACGTCTTGCATGGGAGAACGAACGCCTGTTCTGCCTTGACGTATGGATCTGCACCCGCATGACATGCTGCCGCAGCCTGTCCGGGGCCACCAAGTTCACGATGTCGCCGGCTAGCGCTGGCAGCACTTGGTGTCAGCGCAATACCTTAGAACGCCCACTGGCCGCCCTCACTTTCCCACTCCCATCCCCCGCCCACCCCTTGATTCCCAGGGCCCCAGTGCTCTCTGCCTACCCCTGCCCTCCCTCGAGACCAAGGCCATCACCGCTGCCAATGACCCGTCAACTGCCGACACCCGAAATGACACCGACAGGACACCAATGGATGCTGCGCCGGCCCGTCCGCCGCCGCCGCCGCCACTGCCGCCGCCGCCAGATCTTCCGCCGTCTCCTGCAGTTGCCGCCGTCGACCTCTCTGCCGCCGACCTGCAGGGCCTGATTATTACTGCTGCAGCACAGGCCCGTGACCTCAGGGCGGCCGGCACGCTTCTGCTGCGCGCGCGCCGCGATGCCGCCGGCCAGGCGGCGCGCAACGTCGCCCTGCAGTCACGCCTCGACGCCGTCACCAGCGACCTGTCGCTTTGTCAGCAGGCGCGTTCCTTGGAAGCACAGGAACGTGCGCTGCTGGAGCGGCGCTGCTCGCAGCAGGAGGAGGAGCTGCGGCACCTGCGCGCACAGCAGCTGCCGCCGGCGCCGGTCATTGCACTGACGCTGACATTGCTTGAGCCGGCCCCTACCACTTGTGCCGCCTCCGACCTCAAGACGAATGTCGACGCCAGTGAGGCCGCGATGGCGACGCCTGTTGCCACCGGCGTCGTCGCGGCCGCCGCCGTCCACAGCCACGACACCGATGTTGGCAGCTTGCGCTGCTCCACCGCCGCCCCAGTCCAAGGCCACGTCTCATGCGACAGGCCCCTGGGTGAGATGGCGCGCCCCTGCAACAATGACCACGCCGCCCCCAAGACCACCCTGGACGCCACGAGCGACACCGTTAACTCTGGCCGCCCAGCGCCCGCCATCACTTCCACCACAGCCCCGTGCGTCGCCCCGAGCACCCCAATGGCTGGCGAGGCGCCGCCGCCAGCAGCTTCCGCAGCTGCTGGCGCCTTCATAGCACCTGCCAGCAGCGCCCCGCTTGACGGTGCTTGCGTCAGCCTTCAGGGCAGGGCCCAAGATGCTGCTCTCGCAGCAACAGTCAACGCGGAGTGCAGGGTCATCGCCGCCCCCGTGGCCACACTCTGTCACAGCACGCCCGAGTCCTACATCGACAGCCAGCCTCTGCTGCCTCCTGAGCTTCCAGCCAGCCAGGGCCAGCTTCACAAAGTGTTTGCCGCCGCGCACCGCTTTGAAGGCGCCTTTGCTGCCCTGTCAAGCGCGACGCTGGCTGACCTGCTCGAGGCAGACGGCGCTAAGCCAATTGGCAACGGCGGACAGGGCAGCGTGTCATGCCTGCAGCTGCCTGGTGTGATGCGACCGCTGGCGATGAAGGCGTGCGACGAGCCCGTCAAGTACAAGGATTTCCTGAGGGAGTGCGACGTGTGGACCTCCTGGGCGGCCGCCTGCCCCCAGTACGTGACGCCCCTGCTTGCGGCGCAGTACGTGCGCCGCAAGCCCGGGCCGGCCCGCGCGAGGACCCAGGTCCTCGCGCGGCCACGTCATTTTCGCCATGCCGGCCCACAGCACGGGCAGGTCCCTGACCTGGGCAGATGATGTCCTGCTTGCGGCGCGGCGGGCGGCAGGCGGCAGCTTCCCTGCTGACCAGCTGGTCTATTTCCAGCGCCTGCTGGGGTCCCTGCTGGTCGCCCTCGATGCTGCCCACCAACAGGGGATTGTGTGGGCCGACCTCAAGTCCCCCAACATCATGATGGACAGCAGAGCCCGCCCGCAGATCATCGACTTTGGGTCTGCGAGCCGCGTGCCTGCCGGGGGCCTGCGCCAAGTGCCACCGCAGTCTCGGGGCTACCGCGCGCCTGAGTGCAGCGGCAGGAAGAAGGGAAGCATGGGGCTTGCCATAGATGTTTGGGCCCTGGGATGCGTGGCCGTTCAGATGGTGCTGGGCTTTGACGCCTTGTTTGCTCTTGCCGACAAGCACGAGGTCCTTTCGCCCAAGGCAGTGGCCGCGGCGTGGCCATCCTACGAACCTGTGGCCCTGCGCGCCCTCGTGTTTGACTGCCTGCTGGTGCGCGACCCCGCGCAGTGCGCGTCGGTCGCCCAGGTCATGGCGCACTCGTTCTTCGAGGGGCTTGACTGGGAGGCTGTGCGGAAAGGAGCCACCTGGGCGTGATGCGTTTGCCTCGGCCTGGCAGCTGCTGCTTACACCAGCTTCCTTGAGGGCGCGTTTTCTTGGAGCGATGGACTGCGCTCCGCTTTGGGTTCATTTGCATAATCTTCTGTTTTTATGTTCCAGACTGAGTAACTAGTAGCTGCAGAGCAGCGCTCACGCGTCGTATAACCTCAGCGTGATTACTGTACGTCAGCACCACGCACCACAAACCCAAGGCTGCCCCACCATATAGAGAATTCGGTGCCTTGATCAATACAAACAGCACAGACCGTCACCCTGCAAAGCATGCGCCACATGCACCGTCACTCAAAGTAGGGTTTTGCTGCCGCTGCTCACTGGATCCTCAGAGCTTGCCGCTCGCTGGCCGCTCCTCACGCGCGCGAGCCGCCGCCGCTGCAAATGTCGAGCAGCGCCCCTTCACCCACTCCGCGATCGCGTTGCCGTTGGCCGTGCGCTCCTCGCCCATCAGCAGCTCGTGGTAGCCGTCTGTTGAACGGAACGAGGGTAACCAGTGCATGCGGTGACCACCTCCATGCGCCAGCAATGACCTGGTGTCCTTCCACGTCCCATGCAAAAAAAAACTGACCGATCGAGTCAAAAAGGATGCCAGATCTGCAAGTAGATGAACATGCACACCTCTCGGCAGCGGTCAGGGACACCACGCCCCCCGCGTTTGAGACGTCGACGCGCCTGGGCGCGACCATGGGCCTCCTCACCTTCCACCTTGTTGAAGGTCACGTCCTTGCTGCCCACGCGCCGCACCAGGTCGTCCACCGCGTCAAAGCTGGTGGTCTTGTCGCGCATGCCGTGCACCACGTACAGCGGCAGCGTGAGGGCCGGGACCCGCGGCTCCAGCGACCGCATGCCCTGCGGTGTGCACATACGTGGATTTGTCATGCAGCGCCAATTCACCAAAGGCGGCAAAAGCACATCAAGCACAAGATTCAAGCTGCCTGTCAAACTGTTGTGGATAGATAAGTGACCGTTGGAGCGCTGCCCGCACTGCCATCGGCTGGAGCACCCCTTGCTCGACTGCTGCATGGCAGCAGCGCGTGCCTGCAAACTCCTCCCGCCGATCGGCTGACCTTCAGGACCTCGTTGGCGGAGCGCGTCCGCAGGTTGCCGTGGAACACCAGAGGATCGCTTTTGAAGGCCTCCACCTGGGAAGCCACCGCGTAGCGAGGGCGTGAGGCATTGTAGCTGGAAGCTTGCCCCAGCCTCGCAGCGCTCGCCGATGCCCTTTACATGTGCTCACGCCACGGCCAGGCGGGCACAACAGCAGCAGCCGCGGCCGCCTCACCACTGCAGGGTCGGCGTGCAGGTCTTCGGGCTTGACGGCGGGCACCATCTGCGCGTAGGGCACCACCGTCGCCAGTATGTTGCCGATCGCCGCCTGCGCGCGCAGCACGAGCGTCCAGACGACGCCCATCGCCGCAGAGTGCAGGACGAGCCCCGCCCAGCGGTCCTGGTTGCGCAGCACTGAGGGGCGACAAGGGGAAGGGCGGGAGCAAACGCAGTCAAAAGACGCAATACATGTTTGATTAGACAAGGTCAAGAGATCGTCCACAAGCAACGCAGGTCTGGCCGGGCACCTCCTCCATGCAATGCGTTGTGTCGAGTCCCCGCCCGCTGCGCACCAGCATGGGTCACGACGAGCGCGCCCATGCTCTGCCCGCCTATGACGCAGGGCTCTAGCCGGGAGCCGTGCCGCTGCTCCAACACTGACACAAATGTGTAGACGTCGTCGACCTGGGAGAGCATATGGTTCCGGTCAGACGGCATGCAAGGAAGTGTGGGAGTGTTGCAAGTGCAGTTGCAGATTGTGGTTCGAAGTTCAGGCACTTCATTCACCCATGAGGGGGTTTTGCCTTTGCGCTCGCTGCCCTGGCCAGCATGCCACCAGGGCCGCTGCTGCTCATGCTCTCGCAACGCGTGGCGGGCCGCAGTCCATTCAACAACCGTACCGATGCAGCTCGCCCAATCTGTGCCTGGCCTCAAACCCACCAGGTCGTTGAAGCGACTGATCATGCAGCGCTCGTCAGGCTCCTGCGGCTGCGACCGCCCGTGACCGTGTGCGTCAAACGTGTACACCGCCACGCCCTGCTCAGCGATCTGCTGCAGCACTGCGGGGTGGCAGGCGTGGGATGCGGGTGCAAGCTGAAGCCATGTAAATGGCTTTATTGATTTTAATGTATATATACTGTTTACTTATACATATATACATATATGTATAAAAGTAAAGCCTCAACTTGCTGCCGAGTGAAGACTGCATATTTACATGCAGTCAGCAATCGGCAGCAAGTTGAGGTTGAAGGCAGGGTGCAAATGAGCGACATGCGGGGTGCAGGCAGGTGATGGGTTAGTTTAATTGCTGCATGGGGAGCTGTAGCTTTGAGGCAATGCTGGCAGACCACACGGTGGCCATGCTGGCAAGGGGCAGCTGACCCCGCCCCTCTAAAGCAGCAACACAACGCAGCAGGTTGCACGTCTGCATGCGCCACAGCAGCGGCCGGCACCGAGCAAGCCAGCAGCCGTGCTTGTTTTGCGGCTCACCAGGCGTGTAGCGCCCCGAGTGTTCGCAGATGCCATGGTGCCACAGCAGTGCGGCCTTGGCGCCGCCAGCTGGTATGAATTCAACGCCCTGCATATCCTGGTTGCGGCCATTGCGCCACCGAAACTCGGTGCATACAGCCCGCGCCATGATGCAGCGCCTCCGCCTGTGTAAGAGGTTGGGGCCGCATGCGGATGCGACGTCAAGGGCGTGCCTCGTTTTGGCGCGGTTTCAGCTTTGAGCTGTGCGCACGTGTCCGCCTCCTCGAGCGGTTGCCCTGCTGTTTGGGCAGCATCACTTGAGATCGTTGCAACTCACGCCTTTCAAGCACGCGTTCAACGATTGCTTGCCTCCATTATCAGAGTAGCTCGCTATCCGAGAGGCTGGATCGGAACAGGAGCCCAGTTCACCTCGCGTCTTTGATGGGCAAGCTTGCCGATAGCACGTTTGTCGGTCCGTATCTTGCGCCCCGCCTCGAGCTCAGATCAGCGCGCGAGCCCCTCGCAGTGCGCGTCGCTATCATGCAGTGGGCCAGAATGTGTTGCAAGAAGTAGTTGAATGGAGGATCAATACCGAGCGAGACAGCACAAAAGACGAAGCATCAATTTGACACACCGCCTCGAAGCAGCGTGCTGACCGTGCAGCGCAAGCAGATGTCAGCCCCAGTGCAAGTTCTTCCCTCAATGCTGCGACAAGGTGATGAGCGGCTCGCCTGTGTAGTGTCTGAGAGGCAAGAGCACGTCGTGGTCGTGTCGTGCCGGAGGCAACACATATCCACCTGCAATTGGTAGCAAACACATGCTGCGCGCCAGGGGCCTTCTTGCACTGCCCTGACTTAGTCAGACTAGCTGCCTGGCACTTGGGCTGGTTCCACATTCGGTTCATGCAATTGTTACTTACATATTTGTTTCCCCAACTTTCATCCATTGCATGTGCCATCACCGCATGAATGCCCGGATGCCCGTGTGCCTGCGCCAGGCTGACCGTAGTTGACCGCATTGCGTTCGGGCAGACAGCGCGGATCTGTGGGCCCCTTGGAGACCGTTTGGAATTGCATGGATGCTACATCTAAATATTCAGCCGTGTCTTTAAAGGGCTCCAGTGGATGGAGTGCCGCTGACGTTCTGTGCCGAGTGACAAGTGCGAAGGAGTGTGTGACCGTAAGCTGTGCAGGCATCATGATAGCCTTGGTTGCAATCCGCACACGTTCGATGCATTTCGATAATCTGGATACCACAACTCTGAAACATGACATCGCTGGGTTGCCAAATGTGCACGCGATTGCCTTCGAGGCTCAGTAGAAGCCACGGAGACTGTATGCTGAAACCACGCCTGCGAAGATATGTTGCCGCCGCTGCAAGTGAGTGTGGGCTCTGGCACCACCACCGCAAGCGAAGCTGCACTCTGCGATGGCGGCCACTGCGTCGCTGCACGAACAGCAGCCAATGCAGCCGTCGCCTACCCACGCAGCTGCGGGAGTGCAGAAATATGCCGTCATTGGCGCCGGCCTGGCCGGCCTCGCCACCGCGTATCACATATTGGTGAGTCAACCCGCTGCCGTTATCGCGCTTTGTGCTGCCTGGGGCATTTGTGCCGGCAAGCTCTGCTGCTTCGATGCGCGGCACACCGACGTCAAGCAGAGTCGTCCCCTGAGCATGCGCATATATGCACGCACCTGCACAGGATGCCGCGCCGCCTGGACAGCCAGTTGAATTGACCGTTTTCGATGCCGTAGGGATCGGCGCAGGCGGGTCCGGCGCAGCGGCGGGGCTGCTCCACCCGTTCTCCCCCAAAAACAAGGTACAGCCAATGGCACAGCTGCAAAACTGCCAGCTCGGCATGCATCGCGTGCTTCTTGCCTCTGCGGGTGTTGTCTGGGCGCGCCTGTGCATGCGACGCAGTCGTCCACTGCGCATCGTCCATCGGCTTTGTGCTGGGCCCAAGACTTCGTGCGGTATTCACAATGAGGGATTATTGCGAGTTACATGTTACCATGTGGCCCCTGGCCCTAACACACCCGCATGCAGCTCCTGTGGCGCGCGGAGGAGGCCATGCAGGAGGCACTGAAGCTCCTAGCAGCCGCCGAAGAGGCGGCAGGGATGCAGCATCAAGGTGAATGACACTGCATGCCTGAATCCTGACTGCGCTGCACTAAGCACACCCTAGCCTGATGTGCATGCAGCTGTCGCCTTCAAGGGTGCCAGCCGCGCCCCCAGCGCTTGGACACCGTGATTCATCACGCCGGTGCGCCTTCACTCTGCATTGCAGGGGGCGGCAAGCCGATTGCATGGCGCCATGGCATGCTGCGGCCGGCGACGGGCCTCCAGCAGGCGGCCACCTTCAGCCAGGCATGGGGCGGCGCGTGCGCCAGCTGCGGTGGCGCGGCGGCGGGGATGGAGTCGTGCTGCGTAGATTATGATGCGGCTCAGCTGCTGATTCCAGGTGTCCGGCTGCCAGCAGTCGAGGAGGCAGCAGCCGCAGTGGCGCCAGCTCCATTGGCAGCTGCAGGGATGATGGACAGCGGCGGCGACGGCCAGTCCAGGGCCCCAGCAGCAGCCGCTCCGCTCGCAGATGCGGCCGCGTGCGGCGCCCTTCACATCCCCGCCGGCGTGACGCTGCACCCGCAGCGGTACATGCACGCGCTCTGGGCGGCCTGCGGCGTGCGCGCGGCGGCGCGGGGGGACGGCAGCTTGGCGAGGCTCGTTATCGAGCCGTTGCAATCAGTGTCAGAGCTCCACACAGGGCCGGATGGCCCGTACGCCGGCGGTGTCGTTGTGGCGGCCGGCGCGGCGGTGGGCAGCCTGTTGGAATTCAGGGGGGCGGCGCTGCCCATGGATCTCAGCCAGGGCTACAGCCTCGACATGGTCCCCCCTGATGAGGGAGGCGGCGGCGATGGGAACAGCAGCGGCAACGGCAGCGATGGCGTCATCGGTAGGGCTGACTACCCAGCCTGCGCGCCTAGCCTTCTCGGCACGCCGTACGTGGCGTCTCAGGGCGGGCGTATGCTGGTGGTCGGCGCCACGAAGGCAAAGGGCTGGAGCGCCGACCGCTCGCTCGCCGAGTGCGGGCGTGAGGTGGACGCGGGGCGGTATGCAGCGGAGGCGTCCGCTGCAGCGGCGGCGCTGTCTGCAGCTGCCAGCAGCAGTGGCGGCAGCAACGGCAAGGGTGGAGGTGGGCCGCACTACGGCGGGGCCGACGAAGTGGCTGCCGCGGTCTGGGAGCTTCTTGCCGGCGGCGCCGCGTCCTGGCCGCCGCTGCTGCGGTGGAGACTGGGCGGCATCCGCACGGGCGTGCGCGCGCTGCCGCGCCGGAGGCGGGAGGGGGCGATCCCGCTCATGGGACGGTGGCAGCAGGGAGCTGCCGAGCGCGGCGGTGGTGGGGGCGGCAGTGCTGGCGGCAGCAAGGGGAGCAGCAGCGGGGATGGCGGGACGCCGCCAACATGGCTGCTTGTTGGCCTGGGGGCAAGGGGCCTAGTTTACCACGCCTGGCTGGGGCGCTGCGCGGCGCTGGCCGTGCTCAGCGGCAGCGAGGGGCATCTGCCGCCTGAGACGCTGGCATGGCGGCGCGCAATCACACAGTAATACACAGCAAGGCGCTTTGGATCGACCCTTGGGCCTGGCGGGCATGTTCGACGCAAGCGTTGACCCGGTGGGAAGTGCCGGCTTCCAGACACCTGACCGACGGAGGGCGGAGCAGCAGCACGGAGTGCAGCGCCGACTCGTCACGTGATTCTTTTGTTAGAAGTGTTTTCGTGTAGATCTCTCAGCAACAGCTGCTCGCTAGATTTACCCACCCGGCACTGATCTTGCTAGCTGTTAGTCGATCCAAGCCGAACGCCAATCGAGGACTGCTTCTGGGACCACTTGTGTGTCATGGCAGAGGTCTCATCCGCCACACAGGCGATCTTGGCTATCGGCGGTGGGTGTCCTCATCCCGATGGCTTGGCAGCTGCCCTTGGCCCTGTGCAACCATGTCAACCGATACTAAGTTTGGATATAAAAGCAGCTGTGACGGGGCCCCCGCTGGCAAACCTGCAGGCGTTTCGGCGGCAATCGCTGCGCTGTGGGTGGTGTCCCTGGTTGCGCGTCTCCTGCTGGCCCTGCTCAACGGCGTGAAGTGAGTGGTTGGACGTACCGGGAGTCTGCGCGCATGGATCAAGGACAGTGATGTTTGACACACAGCGCAACAGCTACGCTCTGTCTGCGATTCGCAAGCAAGAGCACGTTCCCGGATTTCCATCCGCATCCCCTCCTCTCTGCATTGCGCCCTGCTTCAGAAAGCAAGCGGCGTCGAAAGCCCCACACAAGGGGTCTGCAAGAGTTCCTAACGAAAAGAATGCAGCCAGGTGAGGGCGCCTTTGAGATCTTAAGTAAGCCCGCGGTCCGCTGCGGCACCTGCGGCCGCGCTGCCAACCGCCACCAACTGCAAACTGCTGCAAACGGGCGGCGGCCAGTTCCGACATCCAGGGCCTCGCTGCGTCCCGCAGAGAGAATCAGGCGGTCGGTGGCGGCGGCAAGCGCGGGCCGGACCTCAAAACTCTCATCAAAGAGTCCCAGACGGCCAAGAGGAGGTGGGCGTGACGCAGACGGGCCTGCACCTGTAACGGGCCCGCCCAGCTGGACGCTGTGCCATCGGCAAGCAGCAAAGCAGACCATCAGGCGCATGATTCGACGACACGCAGCATGGCCCTGCCAGGGGCCGCGCGACTATTCGGCTCACCAAACTGCCCTGTGGCGAGACGGCTGATTTTCAGCAGCGGCATGTAACAGATGCGCATGCAGACTTCCCCTCCCCCTCCCTCCTGGCCCCCAGCGCCCTGACCAAGGAGGACATGGCCGCGCACCACGCGCTGTTCCTCACGACCCTCAAGGGCCACGCTGACGCCATCAACGGCGTGGCCTGGAGCCCCGACGGGCGGCTGCTGGCCAGTGCGTGCGACGACCTGACGCTGCGCGTGTTCGACATGCATGACGTCACCAGCAAAGACCCAAAGTTCAGGTGCGGTCTTTGGGGGTCAGAGGCCAAGGGTTGCCTGCTTCGTGCTCCAAGCTCGTGTGTGGCGCCGTCTGGTGTGCAAGTGCGTCAGCGGGATGTGAGGACTGTTGTTTTTTGCGTTCCTGTTGGCCGTTGAGAAGGGCTCGGCAAGTCGTGCTGGAGGCGAGCGCACCTGTACAAGACGTGCACGTCTGGAAAAGACGGTCCGCGTGCGGCGCGTGCCCAGCATCAGTCCTGCGCCGCTCCCCGCTGCTCCTGCAGGTTTGTGCGCACCAACCAGGCGCCCCTGGCCTGCGGGTTCGGCAACAACCCCAACGAGCTCGTCGCCGTCATCAGGGGTGGGCTCATGGGGCCCGGGAGGGAGAGGACGGCGCCCCCTGCTGAGCCTGCAGCTTGCAATTCTCTCGCTCAGAATCGTTGGCGCATGCTGCAGGCGGCATCCGGGGGGCCTTGTGCGGTTGTCATATCTTATCATGCCTAACAAGATATGGCGGCGTGCACGACCTCGGTTCAGCCGCTTTTCCAATTGCTCACGCCCCCAGATATCCCGGATCAGGCGCGCCTGGTCCTGTTCTCCCCCACCAAGGGCAAGGGCGCGGCGGTCGCGTTCGAGGCGCAGTGGGAGAGTGAGCGCGATCGCATGCGCGGGTGTCATCATGACGTCATCGCTGCATGCCCCCTAGCATCCTGGGCTGGTGTGCACTGTCCACCACCCTCGCCACTGTGGCGTCAGCTCGCGGGACCGAGCTGATTTTGCTGTGCAACTCATGGGTTACCGTTATCAACCTGGGCAGCTCACCCAAGCCAATGCTCAGCCCTTACGAGCCCTCTGCACGACATCGATTCTCGTCCTCCTCATCTTTCGTTCGCATCCCATCTGGCTCCTCACCTGCACCCGCGCAGCCCCCAAGGCCCTGGACAAGGAGCAGCTGATGGAAGCAGTGGTGGTGCCCGCGGTGAGAACAACTTGCAACCCCCAGGGCCCACACCCTTGCTGCAGTACGCTCAAAGCGCATCAATGCGCTGCCCGCACACAGCGAGCAACAGCACGTCGTCCTCAGCTGAGCTTTTAGGGGACGCGGAATCGCGCCGACGCGCTTACAGTATCCTGTTCCCACTCACCCTCCTTCCTCTTGCCAACTGCGCCTCACCGTGCCGCACCTGCAGCCCCAGAGCGCCACTGGCGCAGGCGTCGCCATCCTGCTGTCGCCGAAGAAGTTTGGCCGCGTGCTGCGGCTGTCTGATGGGAAGCCCCTTGCCGTCTTCGAGCCCAACAGCCTGGGGAACCAGTGAGACCCGTCCCCACTTTCTGTCCATTTGCTCAATGCTTGTGGTCAGTCGTAACGTCTTGGCTGGGTGTTGTTGCAACTGATTGATCTGGCATCAAATTTCTTTTGTCAGGGGAGTGTATGTGCGATTTGCTGGCCTCCTCAATTCGCTGACTGGCTGCCTGGCAATCCCCTGACCTTCCTGCGCTCTGCTGCTCAATGGTTGCAGCGCCCTGGCGGTGTCTGCGGGCGGCCGCTTCTTCGCGGTCGCGTCCTTCACTGCGGACGTCAAGGTGGGCGCGCCCTGCCTGCCAGCCGCGCCCACTGACGCCAGACTGCACACGCAGCGAGTGTCATAAGCGCTCGTTGCCCCTTGGCAGATTACCAGCTTGCCTGGCATGCCTTCGCTGTGTCATGGTGGCTTTCCTATCCATCAGCCCACTTCGGTGCCCGCCAACCTGCCTGCTTGCAATCAAACGTTAGGTGTGGGAGGTGGAGTGGGGGCGCGACGGCTTCAAGGGGGTGCAGCGCGCAATGGATCTGAAGGGGCACTCGCGCAAGGTACGTCTGCGCATGTGCGCTTTTGCGCGCCTGCACATGAATGTGGGCGTGTGAAATGGGTGTGCCTGTGTCTGGGTGCATGTCCAAGCGTATGTGCAACGAGGTCGCGTCCACCCTGGCCAGGGGAGAGGTCATTGGAGGCTGTGCCTGGTGGCAATCCTGCCTTTGTCTGAGCCTTGGCCCAGCCAGCTGGCAGCCACTAGCACCCCCCACCGACATCCCACCCCGCCTTCGCCTCTTCCCTTGCAAGCGGGCCACATGCTGACTGCTGCACTCTGTATTTCGCGACCCGACCCGATCTGACAGGTGATGAGCGCGGCCATCAGCCCCGACGGAACACGCGCCGCCACTGTGTCGGAAGACGGCAGCCTGCGGGTGTGGAAATTGGACGTGCGGTACACCCTGAAGGTGGGGGCTGTGCAGTACAGCTTGCCCTCAACCCTAAACCGGAAATCTTACACAGCTCTGAGGGGACCACGCATACAGATCAGGGAATGGAGGGAGGAGAATTTGGGGCCTTTGGGGGGGGGCGTCTCTTGATTGGGGCCTGTTTTCAAGAGACCTACCTCGGTTGGAGTGGGAACTCTTGAAAACGGAGCTGCCGTTGTCGCGTTTGGGTCCACAAGGCAGTGGCCAACCAGCCGATGCAGGCGCCGCCCCAAGGGTTGCCGGCGGCGGCACCACCCGCTGCTAAACCCTGAAACGCGCACACACCCCAGGAGGACCCCAAGACGCTGATGGTGGTGCCGCTGGCGAGCCTGGGGCTCAAGGAGGGGCAGACCTTTGAGAAGTTGGCCTGGGGCCTGGACGGCACCATAGCGGCCGTGCACGGCCAGCACATACACTTTGTCGACAGCGGCAGCGGGCGCCTCCTGGAGACCCTCCACGCGCACGAGGGGCCCATCTCCTGCCTCACCTGGGCGCCCGCGCTCCTGGACGTCGGCGGCGGGCGGCGGGCGGCGGTGCTGGCGTCGTGCAGCGGCGACCGGCGCGTGCGGGTGTGGCGCAGCCCCAAGGCGGCTGAGGAGTGAGACGAGGGGCGCGAGCAGCCGATCTGCGGCTTGGCAGGTGCGCCTTCAGCGCAGCTTGGCGCAGGTGATGCTTGAATTCAAGATAACCTTCAAAGCGGGTGGCGGCGCTTCGGCGTGGCGGAGTGGTTGCTCTGCAACGTCTGCTGTTTTGCTGTTGCTGTTCCTGGGCGCTGCAGCGCCTGCTCCGTGGCAGGCGTCCCCTGTAATGGCCCAGGCATGTTGACAGGCGGCTTTGCAGGGCCCGGACATCTGCTCTTGGCATTGGACTCAGAAGGCGATGTGACCATGGGCGCCCTACAAACGAAAAGTTGCGTGGGGTGGGCTTTGAGAGGCTGGCCGAGATTGTGAAGACTGCAGGCCACGGCGGGCCATGCTTGAACGTCGACATGTGTAGACTCATTCAGCGGCTTGGTCCTGGATCCTTGGGGCCGGACAGTGCGGGACTCGCGCTGCGAATGGCTAGTGGCATGGCAAGGCGCAAGGGCCTCTCATGGGCGGGCAGATGCATGATGTCTGCAAGTTAGTTTGAAAAAGATGCACCGGAAAGGGCTGGTAATCAGCCAAAAACCTTGTAGGGCATGCAGTCCTTCAGCATCCGGCAGGCGCACGGTGTCAAGACTGCTGCCACCGCTTCCCACACTCCCGGCGCCCCAGCGCGAGTCGACGCGGCGGGTGACGTCAGTGACCCAACACAAACACATTCCAGCTGAGGTGGATTACGGCGTGCGCCTTTCAGAAACGTCGTAAATGCGAGAGTTCAGCACACGCGCACGACTTTTGAGGCATGAGATCGTTGTCAACGCTCGGAACACGCAGCAGCGGCTTGAACCGTGCTTTGCAGAACAGATTGGCAGAAGCTGCACCTTATGCACGAACGCGCTTGCAGCGGGGCTGTGCGCTTGGTGGAGACAGCAGCAGCAGTAGCGGGGCAGACGACGCTTTCTTCGAGAGAGCGCTGCAGGAAGCAGCTGACCTTGTGAGGCGAGCGCAGGTGTGTGGTAGCAATTTTCCACGCACTTGAATGGCATGTTGCGTGCTCGCTTTTGCTTACTTGGGGTGCCTGCCTGCACCTGCTCACGCCGTCGCGAGTCGTCGATGCAAAGCGTGCTCAGCTTGGGACAGGCCAACAGGTGTCGACGATGCCCCCACCCTTCGCCTTTCCTAAGTCTTCTTCTCTGGTTCAACTCAATGTAACACATTGCCCGACCTCAGGAGCTTGCTCAGCAGCAGGCACGCAGCGAGCTGACACAATCATGGATCGCAGACGGCGGTGGCGGGGCTGGAGCCGCCTCCTCCTCTGGCAACCCCTCCACTGCCCAGCAGACTGAGCAGCAGCAGCAGCAGCAGCAGCAGCAGCAGCAGCCGGCAGCGTCGCCAGAGGCACTCGCCGCATTCCTGCAGGAGCAGGGGCTCAGCAGGGACAGGGCCGACCGCCTGGCGCAGACGCTGCTAGAGACGGACCTGGGCGGAAGCGGAAGCAGCGAAAGCAACGAACGCAGCGGCGGCGGCGGGGGTAGCGGCCTGTCCATGGCGCAGCTGCAGGCCAGGTGGATGGGGCTGCGGCGCGTCTTGCCGGATGCAGACCTCGCTGAAATGGTGGGAGCACAGGGCCCCAGGGGGGTGGTTTCAAGATGTTTTGAACCTTATTCATCACCCGGCTTCGGAATGCTGCGCTGCATTTCGAGGCAACTCCGGCTCGGCTGGGTCATGCGCTATCGGCAGGCGAGCGCTGCAGTGACCGACTGCTGTTCGAGGCTCCTGCGCGCCCAGCCAGGGCCGCGGTCGCCAGCGTGGACACCTCCCGCCTCACACACACACACACGCGCGCGGCCTTGCATGCAGGTCGCACGGGAGCCGAGGCTGCTAGCTGCTAGCAGCGGGGCGCTCGTGGCAGCGATGGTGGCGCTAGTAGGCGCCTTCCCTTCGCGCGACGTCTTGGGCATGGTGCAGGGGCGGCCGGGCCTGCTGCTAATGCAGGCGAGCACGCGCGCTGTTGGGGCACCTGTCAGTGCATGGCGTGCCAAGAAGTTGCGTGAAGCTCGTGTATGGTCCGCATGAGTGTTTCTTTGGGGGGGGGGGGCGCTTCCGGCACCCGGCTGCTCGTCCAACATCAGTGGATCAATGTGCGCAATGTGACCGCTGGCGTTGCTGCGCCGGCCGGCAATTGCATGACGGACGTCTCCAACAGCCAGGTCCTGGCCCAGATGCGACACAATACAGCAGTGTTACCTCTCAAAAACCTGCAGGACCTGCCAGAGCGCTGCGAGCGCGTTGTGGCCAAGCTGATGCAGCTGCACCCCAGCAAAGACAATGACGTCATTGCGGGTGAGGCGGTCTATGGCGCACCCAGGGAGCCCTCTCGTGCAACGTGCCGTGGCTCTCCTGGCCGACCCTCAGACCGAGGGTTAGCCTTGCCTGGCCCCTCCATCCGTCCACTGGCTGTCGTCATCCTCGCTCATGCCCATGCATCCACCAATATAAGCGTGTGCCGAGTCGACGACCGTCCCTAAGCCGCCACTTATGTCTCCCCATCGTCTCCGACTCAACCACCCGAATTTCCTCCTCTTGCCCGCCAGCAGCGTTACCTTGAGTCGAGTGAGCGACCGCCATCCCTCACTCCCACACCACCCTGCTCGCTGACGCCGGCGTGGGCCGCCCCCCCGCCCCCGCCCCC